TAACTGGCAGACCACAGACTGTGAGGGTCAATGTGAAGCTTTCTCCCACAATGACCATTGATATAGGTGCCCCTCAAGGCTGTGTGCTTAGCCCCCTGCCATTTCCTTGTTTACCCATGATTGCGTGGCTGGACAGAGCTCCATCTAAAAGTATAGTAGTGTCATCAATATAGCCCATCTCATAGTTACTGGCGATTCAGCCAACAGGGATGAGGTCAGGTGGAGTGGTGCCTTGACATTTCTCAAGCCAGGTGGGGAGCACCCCCCTGTTCACATCAATGGGGTGGCTGTAGAGATGGATAGAAGCTTCAGGTTCTTAGGTACCTTCATCACTAGCGATTTAATGTGGTCTCGGCATGTAACTGGAGCTAGAAAGAAGGTGCAACAGTGCCTTTACTTTCTCAGACAGTTGAAGAAAGTTTGGTTAATCTTCAGCTATTCTTACTACAGTACAGTTTACAGGTGCACTATATTAAGTGTTTGGTTTGCTTTGGCAGTAGCTTGTCTGACTGAAATGCATTACAGGGGATAATCACTGGGGATAATAATTACTTGGGTCAGCCCAGTCCTTCATTGGTGTACAGCTCGCCTCCATTGAGCACATTTTTACACCTCGCAGTCTCAGGAAAACTGGGAGTATTGGATAATCATCCTGGTTTCTCACTTCTCTCTCCAATTCCCTTTGGTAAGGGTTATAGGAAGATAAAGGTACTGTATGTACTACCAGATTTGGAGGTTTTTTCTTGCAAGCTGTGTGCTTATTGAATTTTACCCCTACCAATGACTTGCATACCGTTTGTGCAACTTGTTTAAGCTGTATGGTATTTAACACTTTGGTGTTTCCTTAATGTCTTTGAATTTGCAGGTATGCTCCAATAAGCATTTCACTGCACTTGTGCATATGTCAAATCAAGCTCAACTATGGGACAAATTCAGTATTCTACAATTGCAGCATGAAGTTTAATTCAGTGTCCAGATGTGATGTTTTAGAACTGTTAACTCCTAAAATTAGTGTACTTTTTTCATAGTCCTTAGCAGTTTGTACTTTTACATTGTTGAACATAAAGCTTGAAAGTTACGCAAGTCTGGACACTAGGAAAAATGAACTGAAGTCTGTCTCTGCTTTAATATCTTCCATGCCAGGTCTACACAGATACTCTGGATGGGGTGTACATGGTGCTGAATAAGGAAATGGCAGTCTCTGGGGTCAATCATTACCAGTTCTGTCAGGTTGCCAAAGTTCAGATGGCAAGAGTATGCAAGCTGGAAGAGACGGCCATGAATTATGTCAATTGGAGAATGATTGACTCCACATACTACTACAAGTAAGTCTACAAGTAATTTAAGCCCGTTTTCAAACAAATCAAACTTTCACAGTAATCGATACATGCCAATCCTTGTGACATGCCTAGTGGCAATACTGTAATCATTAAAACCTTAACAAAATAAGAGAACCTGTTCTTTAAATTTTAAAATGGTGTAGTCTGCCCAAAACTGGGGTCCATCTGCAGTATTGGCATCTCTAGTTTTTAGCTAAGTTTCAGGGAACCTATTGTCTTGGGAAGTATGTCTATTGACTTTAGAAAAGGACCAGTTTTAAAATGTGAAGCTTGGACTGATATTCACCTTGAAAGAATGGCAGAGGGTGTGATGTGGTAAAGGTGGTAGCATGAAACGGTGCAGCAGCAGGCTGTTGAATAGGTGGTGCAGTGGTTCTGTATCCTGCAGCTGGCAGAGGAATCTGCTCCAGGGGTGTTGTATAAATGGTTGACCCAGCACTCTGATCCCAAGCTTCTCTCCCTGCCTGTGTGTCTCATGGAGAGCAATTTGGGGTATGTGAAAAGACAAATTCCTAATGCAAGAAATTGTATATGGCCGGTAAAGTGATCTTACCTTGCAAAGTGTAATGTGACGGTCAAGAATGAGACAAATGGAAAGTTTAAGGGTCTTTTGACCTGTAGAGCTCTGGGGGATGTCTTAAATGAATTCTGGCTTCAGCACTTAAGGTTTTGCAGAGAATTGTCTGGGTAAGGGATGAGTACTCCTCTTCCAGCAGCAACCTTCCCT